GGACTTTTATTTAAGTGCTATTCTCCTTCAAGATACATTTACCTAACACCAGAATAAATGCAAATTACATTATGCAGCAAAGGAAATAAGAAGTCATTTATCCAATATGGAGATGATCGGTTTTGGACGGGCAATGTGCCCAGTATTGCACAAGCGATACTGAAGAATGACTGCTATCATCAACGATACAAGGAAGAAGCTTTTTAGTTATCTAGCTTTGCTAACAAAGTCGTTAGCTAGCAGCTAGCTAGTAGCACAACAGCAACAGGCTAATGTCTGTATGATAAAAATACTGAATCGATAGATAAGAACAGTTTTTCCTCACCTGGCTGTCTCCTCCCGCTCAGTAGTTCTTCAGAGAAAGGCAGACGCAGAGGCCCGTCAGTGTCTGTTGTATTTCATTACCTCTCTGCTTAAACCGCTGAAGCAAAAACGATACTTCAACGTTTTCCGTCATCTGACAAGTAGCAAGTCTACTCCACTTTATTCACCAAAAACGTTGTTTTTTTTTTAATTCACCAAAAACTGTTCTGTAATGTGGAACATTCACTACGTTGAGCTCCAGTTAGCCGCCTTATCTCAATCCGCGAGAGGCATTTGCGTCATGCGTCACGGGAAAAAGGTCAAAGGTAACAAGGTGACGAGAGGGCTTATTATGTTGTACAAAAAAACAAAAACAACAAAAAACAAATAATTTTAGTACATGTTATTATGTGTCAGAAGAGAGCTTAGAAAATAATACAGAAAAAAAAGAAATTGACCAAATGGCCACTTGGGGGCAAGGAGCAAAAGGGGCAGGTGCTCAAGCACACCCAGCCCTCCCTCTGCACGTGCCTGCCCATCTGAATGCTGACAGCTGCCTCTATTGCCCACATAAAAGACGACTTGAATCTAAACAAAATGTGATTGAATCCCTGCAGACACAGAGATATATACTTCCGATATACCTTTGTAGATATGATCCCTGATTATTCATTAACCAAAACTCCAGAATTACCAGATTATGTGCTTTTATTTTAATGTGACTGCACGTATTTAAATGTCCAAAGTCTTAGTCCTAAGATAATTAAGGTCTTTTTAGTTCTTGGCTTTGAGATTCTGTCATAAGAAATCAAAGTGGCATGACTTAACAAAGCTTACTTATAAAATGCATTTATTACTGATTTATGTTTTAGTTTTTTGTCTCTTTCTCCAATGTATTCAGTATTTGTTATCAGTGAAAGCCTATTTGGTTATTTTTGTAGGAAAGCATGAGAACTATTTATTCATTCATCCATCCCACACTGCAGAATTGTGAAGTGGAAGGAAAACAATGGGCGGCTGTGGAAATCGTTTTAACCAAGTCAAATCTGGAAAATCTGACATTCATTTATATTACACCCCATTTACTCTGTTAACCCCAAATTAAATCTGGTGTAACATACAAACCATTAACTGAAGAGGGTTGAACGCAAATGCGGGCCACTCTCTCAAGATTTTGTTTGTACAACATTCCTAAACTACATGGATTGTTGGGTATGCAAAGGTAGCCATAAGTGTTTTACTTACTTTTGTTTCGTTCACTCCTCTTGAGTAAAAGCAAAGGTGCATAAAGTGAAGTGAAAAGCCCTTGCTTAATCTGCTGTGAACACCCTTCAGGGCCCAGCACAACCTGCACAGAGGACTCCTGCCACCACCAAGGTGTGTGTCTGCAGCTGTGGGAGGGCTTCTCCTGCGACTGCACCATGACCACCTACGGGGGACCTTTCTGCAGTGACCGTGAGTAAAGGTGTATCACGCCCGACTGGCTACGACGCTGGAAAATGTCTTCTTGACAGGCTTATCACTGGCACGATGCAGATCAAATTCCACCATCAATACAGAATTCAGTAACACATGAAATACACTTTAGAAAGAACAGTCAGCTTTTTTTTTTTTACCTCTAAAGGGATGAAACCTTTAGGCGGTGTCCCGCCTGCCACGCATCGAAACTGCTTCCATTTAGGTCTTAATAGAATTTTAATGAGTTTTTGTCTTAGAGGATTCACATTCTAAGGACTGAAGGTAAGTTTTACACAACGATATGAGATTAATGTGTTAACCATTCCAACAAAATCCAAGCAATAATTATGTCCTCTCCTCTGTGCATTGTCTTTTTAAACATAGTCACACATGACTCACTGTTTCACCATATTACAACAACAAAACATATTTCTTATGTAGCAAGGTCATGAATAATACAGCCAACTGTTACCAAGGGCTCCTCATATTAATTATAGCAAAGTATTGGGTTTAATAGGCCAGCCATGGCAAGTTAAGCTTCATTTGCTGCAGAATCGTTTAGAATAACTGCAAGAAATGTGTCTTTGTGGTAATTGTTTTTAAAATGTGGTTTTATATTTTACTTTTTAAGAGGGAAAAGTATATTACACTATAAGCTCAGCAGGCACTCTAGCAGAGGATAATTTCTTGATAAGTGGTGTGCTGGTTAGAAAGTTAATATATAAAGATAAAAAAAAGACACTTCAAAGATAGGAGCTCATTTGTTCGCTCACAAAGAGTGCAGTTTTGTATCTGAGTGGAGAATTCAGTGAGCAGTACGAAACACATGTAAGGATAAAAAGATAATACTTTGTCATTGATGGTTAGAAGCATGTTTGTTCACTCACATTTTGACTTTGGAGAGAAAATTCAGCAAACCGTTGTGCACTTGATGTTGTAGAAGTCAACAAAAGCAGTTTCCTCATCTCAGGGTTTCCTTGATGTGTGTGTGTGTGTGTGTGTGTGTGTGTGTGTGTGTTTTTAGTTAAATACACTTTTCTGTAGTTTTTAAAGCATCCATTAATGTGCAAAGACAATAAAAGTTGTAACTAGAAATGCACTCAAAGATCTGCTGTTGACTAGAATAGGACTGTGTTTCGCCTTGTTGGTCCTAAAAGCTGATCGACCCATTGGAAACTCAAAACTGGAACTTTTTACATTCAGTAAATGAATAAGAAAGTGACATACAAGTTTGACACTTGTTCTACACATGTTGATGTTCCATAGCCTGTCTATTGGATATGTGTGACATATTTAGTCTTTCTGAATAAACATGCAGTGAAACTCGCAAGGTGAGGGGGAAAGTACCATGCCGCACTGAAAGGGGGCAGCGCTGAGCACCATCTGCTGAAAACAATCTTAAAAACACACAAAAAATAGTCAGAATAGAACAATTTAAGAATGACTCTCCTCCTTGGCGATCATCCTCCTTAAAACAGTCAGAGTTTTACAAATGAAAGCAAACAAGAAGGAGACAGTGATATGTGGAGATGGATATGGATATGGTCCATGGACTTTATATACAAATAGAGGTAAGACCAGATCCATTTTCAAGCTTATTTAAAAAAAAAAACAGGAAAAAAAAAACAAGATGATCAGAAAAAAAAAAAAAAAAAAGTACATTTCACTATGAAAAGAAGACTGAGTTATGTCTCTGGTGTTCAAAAGTGACACCACATGAGGCATCAAAGGTATAACTTTATAGCTCAGCTTGAAAAGCATTACTGTTAAAGCAGATCTTATCTTTCACACAGTTTCACAAGAAAAGCAATGTTTAAAAGGATGAAGTGAACCATGGACATTCTTAGTTTAGTTTTTCCTTGTATTCAAAGAAGCTTTTATGTATGCTTTTCAAAGTGTGCCCTGATTTGTTGATTTTCACTTCACATTACTGTCTTGAAATTGACTCATTTCTCTTTTCACTTTCAATCACTTGTGAGTGTATTTGTGTTTCCCCATGCAAATCTGCTTATGTTGTAAGTTGTTTTCTTTGAAACAAACCGACTTCCTGCATTTATTTTCTTTTCTCACAAACAGCAACAACATGCAGCTGATCCTTATTATTCTTGAATAAGATGTCAAATGAGTTCCATAATGTTGGTATGCGTGTTTTCAGTTTTAATTACAAGCTTACTGGATAAACCACACAAATTCTCCCACCAATCTGTACCGACTTTTCTTTCTCCAGATATCTGATTTTACTTTTGTAATTCTGAGACATAATCACACGGTTTAGCTATTTTGGTTAAGTCATCTTTGAAAGTATTTCCGATTCCAGCATCATGTTATTGCAATTAGGATGTTTTGAACTATGGCCTTGATTCCAGTCTTTCAGCTCAATTCTTTTTACAAGTTCCTAGAGAAAATGTTTTTCAAATTATGCAAAAAACAAAAACAAAAAAAAAAGACTTTTAATATTACAGCTAAACAACATATTCAACTAAAGCCCAATTTCATGGAAGGTTTTGTGATTTTCATCTCACCGTTTTTGGGAGGCCTCTCAATCAAGTCCATGCTAAATGGCATGGCGGCCCAATATCAAAGGTCAACCCAATAGATCAGATCTGTTTGGCGTAAATAACAAGTCTTGTGCTTCACATTGAACCATCACTGAGTCCTTGGAAGCAAAACAAAATGTTGCTGTAGTGTATAAACAATGAACAGTGTAGCAGTGGTAAATTTTTTTTGCCTTGCAGCAAAATGTTCTTGGGTTCAGATCCCCTCTGGGGTTCTTTCTGCATGGATACTCTAGCTTCCTTCCACACTGCAACAACATGAATGTTAGGTCAATTGGTCGTAGCCTTCGGTTCGACTCTGTGCATGTTTTGTTGTTTGTATGTTGACCTGTGACGGGCTGGCTGGTTAGGGTCAATAGATCCGTGTAAAAACAATGACTAATACTTTGAATTTTTGTAATTTTATTCAGCATGAGATGTCAAAGCTCGCCTCTTTTCACACTGGAAAGTAAATTTTAGTTAATTTTATCAACACCAACAATCTGAAGAATTTTTCCGTGACCAAGGATTAGAAAGAAGCTGTTCTGTTTAACCATTTAACCCACAATAGGAAAAGCTGAAATCATTTCTACTTGGTTTGTGACTCAGTGCATTGATATTCATATACAGACATTGTCTAAATGAGTTTGCAATAAACATCTGTGCTTATTATTTCTAGGTCGTGGCTTCATTACCAGAATTAACAAGAATGATGTTTGGTGCTCAATTTTCAGCACTTCCTCCTCTAAACATATGGTGTGTGTGTAATTATTGGTTAACCTTTGCAGCTACAGATAATTGATTTGGCATATTTATTACCTGCTTGTGTTCACACATTGGCCCGTTTGTCACAGTAAAAAAAGAGAAACTATAAGGATTATAGATATACTCCTGTTTCTTCCATTCATCTTATTTTTTCATTCAACTTTAATTTTAGAAAATGTAACATTTCCTTTAAGATAAATTGAACATTGATTTACTTGTTTATTGTGGATTCATTCACAATTACTCGTACGTTCGAGTTGAGTAAAGTTTTTAGTATATTCTAATTTATTTAGTTATGGTAATCCTTGCTTTCCCTATGGATAAATAAGTATAAATGACACAGAGGCAATTTGCCATAGCCACTCTTCAAAATAGGAAAGACAAAAGTACATGCCATTTACATAACATGTTTATCTTTGTAAATCAGGAAGTATTACTCTGATGCTGTTTTTCCCACTGTCATTCCTCTCTTGTTCCCTGGTTAGCCAGCCACATATTAATCACCTCCTCATCACGTTTGCCTCCCTCTTCTGTTATGCCATTGTCAGATCATCAGGTTAGTCGCTGTTGTCCTCCCTGACAACAGCAACTATTATGATTCTTGAATCCTCCACTCCCAAATTTATGAAAAGGAATTTCATTAGCTGTGAATAATGTTCCCTCTAATTGCTCTTCCAGTTTTCATTGAAACAGAAAATATCTTTGAAATTCTATCCATACCACTTAAATCTTGGTTCTACTTGTGTTCTTCCATTGGTTTTGGTAAGTTCCTGTCATTCTGCTCGCCTCCTGCCAGTGACTGAGTTCACTACCAGTGAAAAACATGACAGTGACAGCCGTTACAGCGGGTTGCCAACACGTGTGTAGAGATTTAAGATATTTCGAAATGTGTTTAGTTGCATGTTTTTAGAAAGATTAAATCTTCCTGCTTTGTGGTTTTAGGAGAAATGTGATGTTTCACCTGAAATCGGTGGGGGAAAAAAGGAGGGAAGATGTAGCATGATGCAATGCTCGATAAAATGTTGTTTTTCTTTTGACCTTCATTTCAGGTGGATTCATTCACAATTACTCGTACGTCCCAGACGGGATAATCCAGGATAGAGGTTTTGACTTAATCTTGAGCCTTGGGACAGAGGCTCAAGAAAATATATTGCTCTTCATAACATGATAACCTAACAGGAATAGAGTTCAGATATGTGACTCTTCCTGGAGTCTGTAAAGTTACCATTTTAGTTTGCTTGGGATCAAACAGAGGAATTAACACAAAATGTCCAATACGTTGTTTTTTTTTTATTTTTTATTTCCATACATGAAGCTTATCTGCTTAAAAAGACTTTTCATATGACAGAAATTTTACGAGCTTGCAATGGATGTTTATATTCCAGGTCTATTTAAGTATTTCTGATTAGCAGTAATTACAATTAAACAGGCTAATGCAGAAAGCGCATGTTGAATTGGAGATATAAATGAGTGACTCACGGCAGCGTTCATTTAACAGTTTCAACTAATCTCACATCAAATTCAGTGCAGCTTGTCGAAATTGTCTTAATTAAGTTTTTGAAAATGAGCATGGCGGTCTGCGGAAAATGATATAAGCAGATCACTGTAAGGTTTTAGTACGTTTCAGAAAGTTAGGTCTGTGGAGATTAAAAAGTTCTGCTTTGATGCACAATTGATGAAATGTCTTCTGTTGGTTTGCCGTAATTAGTTTCAGAGGACACGTTTAGGCTCTGATTTCTGCATATAATAAAAATAATGAGATCCTACCTGCCACAGAACACTATTTAAATGTGCTCAAATGGAATTAAAACCAAAGTTAAGAATAATAGTTGTTTTGGAAGATAAATGCGAAATAAAATCCAACCATTCTTGCAATTTTAGTTTTTGTTTTTCCTAGATGAACTAACTTTTCTTCTAGAATATGAACTAAAGATGCAAAATATAGGAATATTGCACCTTTCCATTGCTCCATGAATGTATGCAAAGGAGAACTGCAGTGGATTATTTGGCAATGTGGCATGTATTCAAGTTTTCCAGGAGCATTTTTGGCCAGACTTTTATTTTTGTTGCCATAGTTCTCTGAATGAGGTTTGCAGAAAATGGTCAGAACATCATAATGATGGAAAAGGCAGAGAATAGTTCAGAAATTGTGGGCTAATTGCATAACGATGTTGCTATTACAACCCAATTAAGGATTCACAAAATAAAAAATATATATATATATCCAGAAATTAAAGGATTATAATAGCATAAAAGACTTGAAGATGTCCGTCTGCTAATTAAATATTTCCCTTTGTGGAAACTTGCAGACATCCCATTCCCTAGTTTATTATTTGGGATCTCATCGTTTTCCCAGGTCAACTGTGACAAAATGGCCATCAAATTTTGGGTTTTCACCTGAGTCTCCTCCCAGTTGGATGTGCCCTGAAAACACTGAAAGAGGAGCGCCCAGCAGGCATCCCAACAGGATTCCTGAACCACCTCAAGAGACTCTTTTCAAGGCAGACTACCTTTATTCAGAGCTCCCTTCGAATGATGGTTCTCCTCTGCCTATCTATACAGCCAAGAACAGCCACCCAAAAGAAGCTCTTTTCAGCCTCTTGTATGTGGGTTATCAACCTTTCTGTCACAATCCATGTCTAATGACCACAGGTGAGGGTTGAAACGTAGACAGACAGATAAATGGAGGCTTTCTGACTCGGCTCATTCTTCTCCACAGTAGACAGAAATAGCACCCATATTACTGCAGACAACACCCCAGTCAGCCTGTGCTGCTCCCGCTCCATCATACGATCAATTGAGAAAAAGGCAGAGGATGAGTCTTGACTTGTATGGAGAGGTGTACCTTCTCCTGGTTGAGAACCATTGTCTAAGAAAAGCTTATTTTTGTCCCTGCTTCTTCAAGGTCAACTGCAGACAGCTACACTGCACACCAAAAGCCACGTCATCTGCAAAAAACAAAGATGAAATCTTGAGGTTCCCTTCTTCAGATTCTGTTTAAATAAAACACAAACAGGGTCAGGGACAAGGGCCAACCCTGATAGAGTCCAGCCTGCATTTGAAAAAAGTTTAATGTTCAGCTGGGACTGCAGACAAAGCTTTTACGTTTAGCCTTTTCCAGATCCACAAAAGCAAAGGTTGACTTGACAAGTGCACGCCGGTGACCCTCCTAACAGTTTTCACAATGGTGCAGATGTGGTCCATTGTTGTATGGACAGACTGCTTCTCCTTCGATATCCAACCATCCAACTTTCTCTCAATATATTTTAACAGAGACTGGATAAAAGCTGAACAGAGTAACTGAGCGTATTTAAGGTCCTTAAAGGTTAGCCTCTAATCTAATTCTATTTTTATGAGGAAAACATTCAAATTGATTATTTAATAAAATTCATCACGTCAGGTTGAATCAACACTACACATTTGCAGCATTCAGCCCTTCAGCCTTGTGCAAGAAACACTTAGGACAATTACATAGATGTGAGAAGAAGTCGAGCACCTCAGGGAAAGATGTCCTTTCTGGCTTATTTTTGTTTCTATCCTTGTAGTCTCTCACATCATGTCTTGTGTGGCACACTTTAATGTTTTTTTTGTTTTTTCTCAGAAGAGCAGCATCACTGCTCAGACACTAAAAACTCTAGTAAACATAATTAAACACTAATCTGTTTTTTATGTAAATTGTGCATTAGAAGTGCCATCAGTAATCAGACCAGATTAATATCTTATCCTGTTCGGCAATATTTGAAGTGAAACTATGCTGGGTTTCATGTAGTGACACTGACAAAATGAGTCATGCAGCTTAATAAACTGGCAAAGACATAAAGCAGTTTGTCTAAAGAGATACTGATGATGCTCGTCCATAAACTGCATTTATGGATTTTGAGCTGGGAAGATAATAAAAGAAATGTGCTATTTAACAGAATCATTTTAGATAAAAGTGTTTGAAAGATAAACAAATAGAAAACATCAATGTTGCTTTTTATTGGATAAACTGACTCAGACTTAATGCTGTTCTCTATTGATAGTTTGCTGCTCAAAGGCCAATCGAGGATTTTCCCTGTCGGTTCAATTCAAATGTCAACGTGTGACATTATGAGAAATGTGAAGCAACTTCACAATGATGAAATCAAAAACAGTGAAGAGGTGCAAAATGTACTTTCTTTTTCACAAAGCATCTGTTAAGAGATTGTTAATTTGTCTTAAATGTATTAGCTTTCATTTTGGAAACATCCAACACCTATCAGGTAAAGAACATAATACTGAAAGCAAAGTCTGGATCTTAAAATCAATCTTTAAGATCCAGAGTCTATATATTTACCTTAACTTTAGACTGACCTGCCATTTTATTGAACGCACCTTGTTAGTACCGGGTCAGTCCCGATTTTGTCTTCAGAACTGCCTTAACGGTCAGTTTCATGAGATTTGAGCTTTGTGACATAGTTTTATTTTTATGCTGCTGAAAGCAGCCAGAAAGAGATGGATGTGGTCAGGAGCAATACCAAGGCGGCGAGTAAACAAGGCTAAATTGGTGGTAAACAGACTCTAAACGTACTAAGAAAATGTCCCCTGTTTCATTACACTACCAGCAGCATGAATTATTGATGGGAGGAAGATTGGACCTATGCTCTTGTGTTTACATCAAATTCTAACCCACCGTCCAAATGCGGCGGCTGAAATCGAGACTTACTGGGCCGGGCTTTTTTTCCTACCTCTTATTGTCAGTTATTTTGGATTGCCCACATACATTTTAGCCTCAGTTTACAGTTCTTACCTGATAGGAATGACACCCACTGTGATCTTCAGCGTCTGTGGCTCATCTGCTTCAAGTTTTGATGTGTTGTACATTCAGAGATTATATTCCTCATATCTTGGTTGTGGTTATTTTGGATGCTGTTGCCTTTCTTTCATCTCGAGCCAGTCTGCCCATTTTCCTCTGACCTTCGGCAGAGGCCAACAAAACATTTTCTTCCACACTGCTGCTCTTTGGACAGTTTCCCTTCTCCCTTCCCATTCTCTGCAAACCCAAGACATGGTTTTGTGTTAAAATCCAAGTAAATTGTCCGTTTCTGAAATACCCATTCCAGCCTGTCTGGCACCAACAACCATGCTACATCACACAAAGTCCCTGTCTTCTCTGCTCTGATACTCAGTTTGAACTTCAGCATGCTAATTTCACATGCGTAAAGGCCTAAATGCACTGATTTTCTGCAATATGCTTGAAGGATTTGTTGATTGAAGTGATTAAATAAATGGACGTTGAATACAAAAAAAACCTTCTAAACACAAGTTTGAAATCAATAGTAAACAAAACTAAAACTGCTTTAACGTTTACATGGAAAAATCTAATGCACAGTTTGTCCTTTTTTTTTTTTTTTAGATTGTGCTTCTCCCTTTATACATTTTTTATGATATCCAACATGGACTGATGCACTGTTTAACTTGGAGCACAAATAACAGTGGCACATAACAGCTGGTTATTTTTCTGAAGTCTATGTAACACCATTTTGTATCTGCTTTGGATTTCAATTGCTTAGCAAGATACACAAATAAATGATGCATAAAGGATTGACTGCTGATTCTCTGCATCTATTTTTGGAAAATCTCCAGCTTTCTGGAACAGTCAAAAGGTTTTGCTGCACGAGCGTCAGGACTAAGAGTGATTGGCCATAGGTGCATTGGCTCAGGGTAGGGCCAATTTTTTTTTTTTTTTTTTTTTTTTGCTGACCACTGCAACCCACAACTTTGATTTACTGTTATCTCTTAAGTAATAACAGGCCATAACAGAGACCAGGACCACTTCTACAGGGGGACTGGCCAAGGTTGTGTTTTTTTGTGTTTATCTTTATTACAATGAAACAATCAACTGTATATGTTGATATCTGCTGTTACAACAAAGTCCCCAGTCAACGTCACTTACTGGTGAAGTAAAACTGAAAATGTTATGTAAGTGATGTACTTCAATATTGAAGCAAAACTGCCAGATATCAGCCGGAGGGCTAAAGACTGTACACATTTTTATTTTTTTTATTTATTTTTTTTTTCAAAATGTGACTTAAAGACAGCAGAGTCAATGTTTTGGAGTGTTTGTTACAAAACTTTTGATCTGAGTCCCATAGCAAATTTGTGGGCAGAGGACAAAAGAAGTGTTTCAGCAAAGTCAGCCTACAAATCTGACTCAGTTTCACTCGTTCTGTCTGGAGGAGGGTGCCAGAATTACAGCAAACTATTGTGAGAAACTTGAGGAATGATACCTCAAAATGTTTGGCCCAAGTCACATTGTCACAGGTGAAATGTTTGTAAAGTTTTGCATCTGAAGAAAGATTCCTTAAACGTAGATCTCTCTATAATATGACATTTATCAAATGTAATTATTCGTGGGAAAATGAAGTGACCTAAAACAAAATGTTTAGTCCAACGGAATGTCAGACAGTGCAGACAAAAAGTTTGCCTTTAATTGTATTTAATCTATACTTTTAGCTGTGATGCTTCAGTATAATATAGCTTAACAATATTGTTTTCCAGTAAAGTCAATGTTTACTTTGGTCCGATGTTGTTTACACCGTCCTGATTTAAGGTCTAAAGTACCAACGTTGCCTGTGTGACTGCCGACTGCAGTGCTGGCCCTCTGTGTCTTCATGTCCTCATTAGCCTCAAGAACTTATATCATCAGCAATCTACATTTCTTTTCCACAAATAAACCTGTTCATTATTTACAGTGACTAGACATTGCTTCCCCTGACCTCTTGTGTGCTTTTGGGTGAAGTGTCACGGATTGGGATAATTTAATGCGAGCTGATGGCTCATTAGAATGCAAGCAGACGCAGGCTGTGCTGAGCTATGTTCAACAGATTTGAAAATGCGAGCCACACTGGCAGCTCACTCAGATATGTGACAAGTTATTTCATGATTAGTCATGGTCTCTTATGACTCACCCTCCAAACACCGAATGCAGGAGAGAGGGAGTTCAGTCTTTTGCCAATGTCACACTGACTAACGGAGTTAGGAGAAATATCCAGACCGCTATAATACATATTTTACTCTCTGTGTCCGCAGAGGGGTTCAAAACTTACAGGAGGAAATTGAGCTTCCCTCTGCAGCTTTTGTTTGAAATCCATAACAGGGAGGTCACTCTGGTTTACCAAGTGAGTTCTCATTTCTTCCCTTTTATCAGATGAAATGCATTTATGTGTGAAATCCTTTAGGAAATGTCTGTGTAACGTACAAATGTTCAATCTTGAAACTTAGATCTTATTTTTATCCGTGGTTGTAGTTTGGTTCATTTTATTGGTGTAGCACCAATTCACAACAAACGTGATCTCAAAATATTTTACAAGACAAAAAGGTCCTGTAAAATATTACAGCATCCAGAAAAAATTATGGATATGGCCTAGGTTCTGCACAGAAAATCACTAATAAACCACAAGAGGTTTCTTGTGTTCTTATTATACAGCATATTACTGTTAATTAGTTTTTCTATCTATTTTAATACTTTATCTTTGTGGGAACATAAAATCCTCAAAGTGGTATCATTTTGCTGTTGTTACACCTGAATTTCCCCACCAGGGGAAAATAAAAGATGTTTTTATTTAATAATAAATTCCCAGCCAAATTTGTGTCCTATGATTCAAAAAGCTGTTTTTGCCCTCCATTCAAAAAAATAAAATAAAATGTGTTTAGATCTGAAAGACTTCCAGTAACTTTTTCAGATCATTTATGAAAATCTACTTTGTAAATTTTGTGTCAGAGTAAGACTCTAATGTTTTATTTATATGTTTTAGTTTTAGAACAAAGAAGAGCATCAGTTAAAGACAAAAAAAAAACTGTTTACAGCATTATAAAATAAACAAAATTTGATTTTTTTTTTAGCTCAAAACAATTCTGATCTCCATATCGAGTTGACTAAACTTCTTAGGAGCCACTGTGGATCCCCTAATGAGCCAAACGGGCAGCAGGAAGACCTCTGGTGTGGTTGGGAACCTTTCTGTGACCTCAGACTAGCAACCCTCTTCTCTGCAGCATCAAATTGAAAGTAAGCAACCCTCATTGCGCTGTGGTTGTGCGAACATGACAGCCAGTGTGGTAGAAAGCATCTCGAGGCAGCAGGCGTAATCAGTGGTTATTCTGTCTGGTGAATACTAAGTGTGTCAGCATTGTCACCTTTACTCCAAGGGAGGTTTTCAAAAGTTGTCCCAATATAATAGGTTCTGCACTGAATGAATTGTTCTACCCGGTTGATGTTTCACTGCCAAGAAACCAGCAGCTATTTAGTCACTGCATTCGCACACGGCTTATTTTGTGTTACCAATTTAAGTATCATTATTATTGAATAACTGTTTTTGTTGAACATAACAGAGTCTATTATGTTGTTGAACCTCATTGTCAACATCCTCGTCTGTTCCTTCAAGCAGAGAGGAATTATTGTAGTAGAGAGCGCTATAAATTGCCTGGAAGCATCTCCCCCCCCTTGCTCTAAATGGATTAAAACATGTACAAACACCAACCAGAAGCACACAATAGCTTTGAATAGGTCATAGGAAGTGCTGCATTCTGGCTGCGAAAGTGAAAACAGCAAAACAGTGAGTTATTTCAGTTATAAACTGACTTTGTGATGGCTGCCTTCTTTTTGCTGGAAGCTACGATGCCATTTATGAAACTTAAATTTCAAAGGCAGTTATTGCAATTTAAGTACAACACAAAGGACAGCCAAATTTAAAAGTCAGTTTTAAGATTTATAGAATATTAATTTCTTAGATTTGTCAGAATAACATTTAGTATTGAAAATTATCAGTGTATTTTACCATTATGGTGGCCTACATAAGTATTCATAACCCTTGATCCAGACAAAATAGTTAGTAATTTTTTAAAGTGGATTAAAGTTACAAATAATTTTACATGGTTTTCCAAACTGTTTTAGTAAAATATAGGTCATCTATTCCGTAAATGATTACTTAAAGAACATATTTGTTGTGGAGGAGTTTTAAGGTTTGAACACCTTTAAAAAAAAAAGTCTTTGGATTTCATCCTCTGAAAGCGGAAAATACATAGTGCAGCTGCAAAACTGCCAAAAAAAGCAGAGCATTTCTGTCACAAACCAGCAGTTTCCTAGCTCCCTTGGGCTTTTTATTTTTCTAAAGTGAATACGTCGTTAATCCACACCTATGAGTTTGTAAAACATATACTGTAGTGCTCAGGAGTTGCCTTGTCAGCGCTGCACATTATATCTGTCTTTAGTATCTCTATACTGTGCTATTCAAAATAATAATGGCGAACAAACTAAGTGAAGCGATCGTCTTGTTGGTTGTGTGATTGCTTTAATTTTAAATATCTCTCCCTTCCGTGCTGTTACTTTTGGAGGCCTGTTTATGCTTGTAAATCGTTTTGCAGTTGAACATTTTGTATCAAAGCCTATTCATATGATCGAGACCCAAATCCTATTTCAATTCAGTCTCCAAAAGTTTACTAGATTTCATAGATTTTCATAAAACAAATAGAAAACTATGTATTTTTACAGTCTTGCATTTATTTATGCATTACGTTGTATTCAAATGTCACATAAAATCCCAATAAAAACACTGAAGTCTGTTGTTGCAAAGTGACAAAACAGAAATGCTGAAGTGTGAATCCCTTTGCATGGAGCTGTACAGGAGGCATGCTTTATTTACTATTTGCGGCCTTCAGTGTACTTATTACATTCTTAGAGCAATTGTACCATGCACCTCCAACTATGTCTTCCAACTTTGTCTACCCATTTTTCACCCTGAATAATATTACGGAAAGGAGAAAAAAAGAAAAAAAAACTGAAACAATGCACACATATTTGATGCAAACAGGAGAACTATTTTTTCCCTTCTCAAAATCTGTTTTGGGAAAAAAAGAAAACACACAGCCTCTTCTGACTTTGTTTGCCAGAGGTAGACCTACAGGGTGGAAAGCCTCTATTGCAGTATTGTAAACAGACAATAAAACTGAAAGATTCCCTGAAAATAGCTATCGGGAAGGCTGTATATCAGCCAGAAAGAACCTCTGTGTGATGACTTATTCCAGCGGCCACAGGCAGTTTAGAAGCCTATTGTAATATGATAAGAGCCGAGTAAAAGATTGCAGCTGTAGCAAGAACTGAGTTCCACACAAAGGATTCGTCTCTGCTAGGGAGGAGGTTTTCTTTTTTATAATAACAGACACTTTATTAGAGAGGACATTTAAAAATAATTGCCATCTAAAGGCTATTTATTGAACAAACATTTTTGAAAATTGCTTTCTCACTAACAAAAGAAGAAGCAGCAATCATAATACGCCTGCAGGTGAAGTAACCAAGAGCACACATAATTATAGCAATAAATGGTGTGAAAGTGGGGTCAGAGGCTCACCAAGAGGCTCTGTGCTGCAGCTCACAATGAGTGCAGTGGGTGTTTTCAGATGTAAAATACGCTGCCTTGCACTGGCAGTTAGTGCCTCTGTGCCGCTCTCCCATTTCCAGGACGATATTCAGCGCAGCATCTCCCCGGCTCCAGTTCTGGGGCCGACATTATGCAAGACTTGATTACCAAGTGGCCGGTCGCTGCTCAGTGCTGACTGTTACTCTGTGCCCCTGCTCTCCATGGGAACATGGTGGGTTTCACTTGACACTTCGACCACGCAGCAGCTGAGCCTCAGATGAATGCTAGTCTATACCTGCTCCCCCTGGGGGTGGGGGTAAGGCGGGGGAGTCTGGGGCTTCCGAGTCTCTGCTGCAGGGGTTGTGTGAGAGGAGAAAGGTTACATTCAGTTTACATCATAAAGGCTAGACACACACACACACACACACACACACACTCGCACAGAGGCCTTCAGATACAGAGCCTCCCTCTATCTGACTCCATCTTTGACTTTCTGTTGTTTTTTTGTTGTTTTTTTTTCCTAACACGCTCAGACACACTGACACTCAGTGATACATCATTCACTTGCTGTTCCCCTCAAAAAGTCACACTTTCGCTCTGTTCAGAGCTGAGTAAAATGACGATCCCCTATTGTGAGTCCCTGCAACGTGTCAGTGTTGTTGCATGTGTCTTGAAATCTATATCTTTGCTTTTGTTTAAAAAAATACAGCAACACAGTTTTATAATATGTAGCACACAATGTGAAATCAGATTAACCAATTTAATTTTATTGCACCTACTAATCAACCTGGCTATTTGTGAAAAAGTAATTAGAACAGCGAACCCCCCTAGTTAGTCAGCAGTATTTCTAACATACATGCAGCTGACTAGTTTTCAGCTGTAGTTTCAAAACAAGGCCTAAGGAACTATTAGAATTACATAATAAAGAATATGTAATTTAATATAAAAATAATACCGAACATGGTATTAAGATGTAGGTTTTTGTTTTGTTTTTTAAGCTGTGTTAGTCCCAAAAACAAGCCTAACAGATTTACACTTAGAAATGGAGTGTTATAGCAAATGTCCCGTTTAATATGCATTAAAAAAAAAAACTATTAGAATTTGCTTTAGGATTCTTTCAATCACAAGAGGGAAACAAAAGGGCAAGGAGAATATAGAAACAAGAACTTGGTTACCTGAAAACAGCCAGGATGTATTTTGCTAGGCATAATATAACAGCAATATTTTACACCATTTTGACTATGCAAATCTGAATTACCCTAATCTATAAATGCCTTACTGCTGGGATGCAGACGGACCTTAAAAGAAGCAACATTTCTGCGTACTTGTTCTGAACATTACAGTTTATTCAATACCCCTTAGATGTGTTAGATGCGTGACTTAAACTATTGTCAGCTTAACACCCAAAAAACAGTTTTAAGTTGCGGCAAACAAAGCGTGACTGTTTTTTTTTGTTTTGTTTTGTTTTTAACCGTGCTGCTAAAAACAAGAGATTTGAATGTGGACAACTTCTTCAAAATTATCTACAAAACAAATGTGGAACTGATGTTTACATACACTGTATATTTCTGACAATCTTACATTAAATCATACTACACCTTTCTTGTCAAATTCAAATGTTTGCAAACACAAGTATTCCACTGCCCTTAAATAATCTGGTATGCCTGGTTTATGCTTTGGTACATTTTCCAGATATGGTACATTTGGTCCTCTTAACCCAAAACAAAAGCACAATGTTTTATGAAGATTGTCTTTTTCTAGTATGGGAATGCCACTATCCATAGGTAAACACAAAACCTGCACTGATACGGCCTGCGAGGCTCTCGGCAAGGAAGGGGTAATTACTTCCAAAGCAGCATAAAGTTTGCAAATGTAGTCTGAGACAAAGACGTTAATTTCTGAATAAATTTCCTGGGGCCTGATGAAACTATAATGGAAGTGTTTGGCTATAATGATCATAGTTACATTTGGAGGAAAATGGGAAGTTTGCAACCCTCAGAGCATCATCCCAACTGTGAAGTTCAGTGATGGCAGCATCCTGCTGTTGGGATGTTTTATTAAATGAGGGGTTTGTGCTCTTCACAATATAAAAGGCAGGATGAGGAAATGGTAAGACATCTCTAGACATGAGCCGGGAAGTTAAAATTTGGGCACAAATGGGTCTTCCAAAAGACCATGAATCATTATCATACCACAAAATCAGTTGCAAAGTGGTTCAAGGACATGACACCACAAAGCCCTGATGTCAGTTCCACAGCACATTTGTGGGCAGAGCCATCGAGTAGACTGACAGAAATCCAGGCACTAATTCTAACTCACTTTGTAATTGGTGTCTGAGATCTTTCTGCTCTGACCAATCACCTATTAGCGCTAATGCACTTCAGGCTACTTCGACATTTTAGGTTTGGTTTGCCCTTCTTCTTTCTGCTGCTTGTATGCACTACAGCACTGAGTATTCATTGATCTTTCCCTCTTGTGAACTTAAAAGTGGTTTTATTTGCATCATAGTAATATTTGGTTTGAGCTAAATCAAATCTTCCCTGAGAGACCACGGTTTGAATTTCATATTGCATTTTCCCAATACACCAGGAATTCCTCTGCATATGTATCTCTTTCTCTTGCACACACACACACGCACACTGCTCTTTCCTTCTTCCCTTTCCATTTCCCCCCCTCTAAGTCTCTTTGTCACCTGCTCTCTATTCCCGGCTCATACTCTGGTCATTGCACAACAAAGCGCCAGTCTCTGCATGCTCAGCAAAAGAAAACCTTTAGCTTTTTTTCTTTTGCTCCCAGTTCATTTTGACGAATTGTTCCCTCACTTTCTTCTATGTTCAATGAATAATAAAAGGATCTTTTAAGCTTCTCCCTCTGTTGTGAAGTAAGCTTGCTGTTTCTCATACAATTTTCCTCAGATGCAGTTGTAATGCAGATAATGATATATTCATGGCCCACATATGTATTCATTTCTCATCTGATTTGATTCTTTGCGCAGTGTGGCTTCAGTACACAATGGGCGCCACTGCTATTTGGGCAACGATACAATGCATCATGATTTCAGTTTGAATACGGTTAGGCTAATAAACTCTAGAAAGAGCTTCTTTTTTACCAGTACAGTACCTGAAATTGCATAAATAAGACTGTTTC